AAAAAAAAAAAAAAAAAAAAGGAGGAAGAGGAGCTGAGGAATCTGCCTGACTCTATATTGAAGGCAGGAGCCATTATGCTGTATTAAAAATAAGTTTCTACTTACTCTAAGAGTTGAGTTGCCCTCTGTTTCCTGGAACTTGATTTTCCCTAACCCATGACCTTGATTTGATTTTGAGAATACCCTTAATCTCCCTAATCACATGGTGACCACATAATGGTTTGTTTGTTTTTAAAGATTTGTCTGTATTTCCTCATTGTCCCATTGTCTCTCTTCTGTAAAACTACTCATGATTTTACTCCTTAAAAGGGGCCCAAGAAATAGATTTGGGGCTGCTCTCTTAACTCAACTTAGGAGGCAGTCTGTGGCCAGCTCTTGGGTACACCCTAATAAAAAAAATCAAGCCTGCTTCAAATTTGGCTCAAATTGTGGCAGTGGTCTTATCCTCACTGTTGGGATTAACAGAACTTCACAAGAAAAGACCCAAATAATAAATGCACCACCACCAGTTTGCTCTGGAGAAATTGTATGTCCAGGGGCTTGGGCCTAGAAACCGTCGTCATTTTAAAAGCTGTATTTGAGGATACAGAGGAGGAAGGTTCTAAGGCAGGCAGGTTACACTAGTCCTTCAAGTTGGGCACAGGACTAACGGTCCTCTAGGGCTGTTATCACTCTTAGAGATGATTGTGTTTTACTGTTCTTGTAGCCTCTTTATTTTGACAATATTTTTCAGCCTCACAAATCTTGCATATTCGGCAGGGATCTCTCTGATTCCCATCAGACTTCCCACAGTGCTAGGATCTTACACACCACAGGACCATATCCGTATCTGGGATTCCCACTGACAGAGAACTGGCTGCTGAGTGTCTTTGAAACTGAGATTGCTCTCCTGAGGAAAACATTTTGTATGGATTCTGCCACTCCTCCAGCTGCATGACCGCACATGCGCAGTTCAGTAGCCAAGCAAGGGGCCTTACGTCTTACGTCATCGGTGCGTGATGCATGGCGTATCTCCTTAAGCCCACTTGTGCGTGTGCAGGGAAATCCTTAAAAAGCCGATCACAGACTCTCCTGCTATCTCCTCCCCCGCCACCATGTATCTTTCCAGCAGGCCTGATCACATCCTGTCCTTTTCTTCTCTTAGTAAAACTCCCTCTTTTTTGTTGGTTTGTTGTTGTTGTTGTTGTTTTTCAAGACAGGGTTTCTCTGTGTAGCTTTGCGCCTTTCCTGGAATTCGCTTTGTAGACCAGGCTGGCCTCGAACTCACAGAGATCCGCCTGCCTCTGCCTCCCGAGTGCCGGGATTAAAGGCGTGCGCGCCGCCGCTGCCGCCGCCACCACCGCCCAGCAATAAAACTCTTGATAGTGGGTTTTTACTGTGTTTTGTGACTTTTCCTCATAGGGTAAGAGTGACGCATAAAACCAATACATTTATTCAAGCGGCAATACATTGGCTACTAAAAAGGAGCCAGGTTGAGCTCTTTTGGGTCATTCATGCTACAGATTTATAAAACAGGACAGGGCCGGGGTCCCTTCTCTGGCCACTCCCTTTCACTCCCAATTGGCTTATCAGAAAATTTGAATATCATAGATGTCATCTCAGAGTCACAGAAAAGTGAATGGTCTTGGTTTAAAAGAGGCTGGCAGGGCTGATAGCGCCCTGCTGTGAGAGCAGGTGGACTGGAGTTCAGATCCCAGCACTCCTGGAGTCCCAGATTTCCAGGGACAAAAACAGGGGATCCCAGAGGATGCTGGCCAGACCTCAGGTTCAGTGAGGGACCTGCCTCAGTACATAAAGTGAAGAGCTCTCTAGGAAGACAGTGACACCAACCTCTTGCCTCTGCACACACAAGTGGACACATGCATGTACACTCACACACATGTCCAACCCCTCCACATAGACACACCAGGGGAGTATAACATTGCATGTTTATAATAGCTCACAAAATCACTCCGATAGCAGCCTTTTGTTTTTTGGGTTTTTTTGGTCACAGAACAACTCACAGCAATTGAAAGATAAAAATTAGCTTTACGCTCTGGAACCAGGCCACACTTCATTCTTTAATGTGTTCCCATCAGCTGGGGAGAAGCGGTGGTTTTTATAGATAGTCTAATAAAAGCAAATATACAGAGTGAAAACAGGATTTGTCATTTTAAAATTATTTTCTTAGTAAAGTAGAGTCAGGGAGGCCGAAGAAAAGGACTGGAATGCTTAACTTCAGGTTGCTTAATATAAAGACAACGGGATTAACCATGTAAGGAAAAAGCACATGGAATTTCTTTCGAACGCCACCTGCGTCCCGTTTATGGACTCTCGGTTTGACGGCTGGAATCTCAGAGCAGATAACTCGTTTCTACACTTAGCTTGGTCTGTCAGCTCTCCCAGCGCAGTGACCTGTCAGAGACACTGGCTCCCATCGCATCATTCCCATCTGACCCTGTATTGCTGTCACTCAGGCAGACACTCTTCATTTCCCACATGGACAGAACGCTACCTCAGTTGGCAGCCAGGGGCTTACCTTTGCACCCTTCCTTCAGGATATTTCCCATCTGCCTTATTAAGTGTCGAGTGGGATACCGACGAGTGTCCTGAACCCGAGCCAGACAACTCCATAGCTCACTCAGGAATCTGAATCTTAAGCTGCGCCATTTTGTCACGTCATTGGACAACATTGGACTTTGGATGAAGCCAAGCTCCCGTCAGAGAATTTCCTGTGGCCCCCTTGACTCCTGCTTAGTCCCTAGGTCTCCCAAGCCACTCTTAATAGTGCCCCTTAGTAAAGGTGGGTCCAGGCAAGCGCCTCGGTGGCTTCTCTGTCCTGTACCAGAGCCATTTGTGTGTCACTGTATCTGGGCATGGGGGTAAGGAGAGGAGACACGGCTGTTGGGCTAGTCATGGATGTCAACCTGACCACACCTGGAATCAACTAACCCCCAAGCAGCTGGGCACACCTGTGAGGGATTTTTTTCTTGACTGGATCTTTTGAGGTGGGAGGAGACCATCCTAAATTCGGATCTTTTGAGGTCAGAAGACGCACCCTAAATCTGGGCCACACCCTCTGGTGGCAGCCCACACAAAAGGACCTGGGAGAAGGGAGCTTTTGCTTTTTGCCTGCTTGCCCTCACTCTTACCGGCAAGTTCACCTATCCTGACCCTGAGGCATTCCTTCCCTGGAGTTAGAACCCGCTTCTTCAGGATTCCAGTGTGGACTGAAAGGGCAGCTCAGTCTAGCTCTCTAGAGCTTCCCTGGGACTCCAGCACCAGACTGGACAGCCTAGACATCCAGACTTGTGGACTGAGCAACTACCAGATCCTTGACCTTTCCGTGCGAGACAGCCATTGCTGGACTACAGTCATAGTTTGTTACAAAGTTCGGTTGGGTTTTGTTTTGTATTTTTATTTGTTTGTTTGATTTTTCAAGACAGGGTTTCTCTGTGTAGTTTTGGAGCCTTTCCTGGACCTGGAACTCATTCTGTAGACCAGGCTGGGCTCGAACTCACAGAGATCCACCTGGCTCTGCCTTCCCGAGTGCCAGGATTACAGGCGTGCGCCGCCACCGCCCGGCTTGTTTTGTATTTTTAGAAAGCTGCTGAATTTAAGGAAGAATCGGACTTTGCCTTGAGTCTTTCACTTGGTGTTACCACCAATCATTTTCACAGCACTACGTGGGAGTGGCGAAAAGCAGAATCCTCTGGCCT